CAAAAGAAGAAAATGTGCGAGTAGTGAGCAGGAACTACAAGAAACCGAATATAACCCCTATTCCGTTGGGATCTTGGGCAATTTCTTGTTGACCCATAATGCATAGCTGCACTTACTGCTCAAAACCTTATTAAAAGAAGCAAGGGATGTTTAATGTACCATTTTGATTGTATCCATTATTTACCTGAAGCTAAAACATTTTCAAAAAGGACTCTAAGCTCCATCGCAAATGACTATTGGAGGCAAGTAGTGCATAGAAGAAGAAAAAACAAGAGACTCACTATAGGGCCATCATCGCGGCCATTATTTCCAAGCAATTGCGAAGGAGGCCTATTCATTGCTCTAACTGGAAAACCTGAGGTGAAAGCACAACAAAAGCTACTTGAGTACCAACATAAATTTGAGAATATGAGCTTGATTTCTAAATTAGAACTACAGTGCATCTGCTTGAAAAAATCTTAATCTGTCAGGGCTTTATCAGCAAAACTATCTAGGGCATACCATTGACCTGCAAATCTGCATACTGAGGCCATTGCATCCTAAATTGGACCTTGTCATTCAGAAGCATGCACCATGCCTGATAATATAATCCATAATACATAAAATACACTAACAGTACAAGATGGGGGGAAAATAAAAAATCTTATCCAACCTGAAGATCGTACTCCTGTCTTGCTAACAAGTCTTTATCCGCTCTTGTAAGTTGAAATGTTTTGTCAACACTTTGTACAGGGTTTGTGCTACAAATTTTCAATACAATTGAAAATTTTAAAATGCATCATGAACAAGAAAACATGTAAATAAGGTGGACCATCATGTAAAAAGAAGAACCAATCTAGAGAACATAAAAGCATAATATGTCACACATTTTGCATAGAGATGTTTTCTTGAAGAATAGAAAACTTCAGCATAAAGAAGCACTTGAAAGAAGGGCACACTAGTAAATGAACAATTAGCACACTATATACACAAATCGACTCCATTACGAGATAACTATGAGAAACAAAGTTGAAAATATCAAAATATGGCAAACGTAGCAATCCATCAATCTAACATGCAAGTGTGATGATAGAACTCAAGATTATGAAGGATAGCCTCTACCAAAATTATGAAATAAGAAACCTAACTCTATAAAATAATTAAGATGAACAAAAATCTTCATTAGAATATGAGTGAGTCTAAAACACATACAACGAACAAAGCCTAAAGAGAATCTCTAATGATAAAATCAAATATTGTCTTAACCTTTTCATAACTTTTACATAATAAGACTCAATATTTATAGACAAGGAAATAACATTGACTCCCTAAATTTTATGTCTACTAACAATGACTCCCTGATTTTAGGTCCAGTAATAATGTCTCCCTAAAATTTAAGTCCAGTAATACATGACTTGGGGAATTAAATTAGCGAAACAATGCTTAATGAAACAAATAAATAAATAATCGACTTAATTAATAAACTTAACAGAGTCCATATCTCCTAAAATGGTGCTCTACCATTTTAGCCATTGCTTCTATTGTGGACCTTGTAAGGAAGTTAGAATGCATCTCTTTCTAATTTCATCATATTTGGGGTGAGAGCAAGTGATTAAATATCATCAAAAAATTGCAAATGTATTTGACCAATACTTTTTGAAGCTTTATGATCATGACTTAGTCATGGATTGTCAAAAAATTATGGTTCTATGTTTACAGTTTAGTTGTTAAAACTTAGACCGTATTTGTTTGTTGAACTATTTGTTGTTGTTAAAATAATTGTTGAGATTTTTTTTCATTTTTCGTGTTTTGTAAAGGTTGGGGAGAATTCTGAGAAAGAGAAAAATTGGTGTTTTAAATGAATTAAAAAATGGAGGTAATATTGGGAAGCACGGTTACTATTGCTGAAATATTAAAGTCAGCATAACAACTGCAAGATAGAGCTGGTAGAAATCAAAATGGATCGCTGCTGAGAAATGATGTTCCAAAACAATGAACCAAATAGTCCCTTAATAAGCAATGAGTAGATGAAGGATTAATTATGAGCTTGTGGACGACTTGATATTCCAGAACCAACCAGTTTCCAATGTTTTGTATGAAGTTGGGTGGATAAGGATATGATTAAATCTTGGAAGTAAATTGTGAAAACCATCAATGAAAATGGAAAAATGGTAATTGCATAAAAATGATTATCGGATTGCTCCGAATCTGATCTGGTCTGAATTGGATATGAATTGAGGTTGTCATCTGATCCAATCCGATATACTTCCTCTGTCCAAAAATAAAAGACACAGTTTGGTTTACGATGGTTGACAGAATTTATTTTTATTTCAATTTGTTATAAAACTGGTATAGAAATAAAAAATTAAAATATCTTTTTTAAGATCTGAATATTACTTGGATTGAATTTGGATCTATAAGAGTCTTATCCATATCCGACCTGATGCCATCAATCTTGTATTAGGAAAAAATATTTATAAAATTTTTTTAAAAGTATTTCCAATACATATATTTTGGTATAATTTTTAGGGAGTACATTTTAATTAATTCTATTAGTTTTTATATAATTAGTCAAAGTAGGACACTGAAAATCAAAATATACAATTAGAAAAGAACATACGGAGTAGATCGGAATGATCTATTCAGCAAAGTGTGGGATGGGTTAAAGCTAAAATAAAAGATAGTTTTAGGTGATGTAAAGAGAAGAAGAGCATGTGAGATTTGGCAAAAGCTTTGTGTAAGGTTGGTGATTTGACTATATCCAAGCTGGGTAGATTGAAGGAGATGGGGTTGTTGAAAAATATAAACATATAAGGAGCTTCAAGGCACTATGACATGTTACATGTTCTATATACGTAGAATTATTTACTTCATTCAAAGTGGGGAGATCGTATAGAAACGTGTTGTGTAGTGTTTTGCAACAACAGCAAAAAAGAGAACAAAAGAAAAGAAACCCAGTTTCTATACACTTCCAATTAAAATAATACTCTTTCCATCTCATTTTGTTAGATAACCTTCCTTTTTTGTCCACCCTAAAATTATGTTCACCTTCCTAATGTAAACCTTGCTAATCTTTGCACCTTTTTTGACCCATATTACTTTATGTCTCATCTCCTTCATTTTACGGAGTTTTTAGAATTTAAAAAGATGTCAGATCCAAATGCATCTTGCATTATTGGATAGACTCATAGACCAATAGAGTAATGAATTATTCTAATTTCACTTTTTTCCTTTTGTATAAATACCAGTTTAATCATCAATAAATATTAGCATTTCTGACTTTATGCTTTCAGCTTCTAGCTGCTTGCTTTTCATCTATATAAGCTAATTATAAACTTTCAACTAGCTTAGAAGCTAGGTTCCACAGCTAACAATAAAAGCATGTAACTCTAAGTCTATGCATGTATAGTCGTATAGATTGCACACCTACCCATCAGTTGGAACATGTGTAATAGCCAGCTTGACAGGATATAACGGGTTTGCTACTGTCATCCAGAAACTGCAAATATAGTAAAATCTTATAAGCATCCAATCTTGTGTAAGCATACAAGTAACCAATGCAGTGCAGACAATGAGAGTCAATCAAAAAACTTCCAAGTATCCAATTATGTGTAGACAGCTAGACATACGAGTAATCCTTGCAAATCATCCAATGAAATGTGATGTAAAAATGTTCTTGAATCATTCCATTAAGCTATCATCTAGACTACAAACCATGTCACTTACGGGTCAGCTCGACTCAGTCTGCATAGTTCACAATAGAATGTTCCAGATGGTATTGATAGAGTACTACTTTCCATGGCTTTCTCAGAGATGATAACACAGCTAATATGTTGCCAGACTGGGCATTTATGATCTTCACACTGCAAAAGTTTCATTCCAAAATAAACAACAGAATTATGTTATAGAACTTCAAACGCATGACAAATGGTTGGTGTTTCTTGACATGTAGGTAAAATAAATTGGGCAGTTGAGAAAATACAAAAGGGATGTACAATGAGAAAAACTATATATGAGAGCGCTAATATGTTGCCAGACTGGGCATTTATGATCTTCACACTGCAAAAGTTTCATTCCAAAATAAACAACAGAATTATGTTATAGAACTTCAAACGCATGACAAATGGTTGGTATTTCTTGACATGTAGGTAAAATAAATTGGGCAGTTGAGAAAATACAAAAGGGATGTACAATGAGAAAAACTATATGTGAGAGCAACAAAAGTAAATATTAGATGCAAAAGGGAAAAAAAATTTGCCAGATTCTGCAATCACATGTATTCATAGCAAGAAAAACAAGATATTGGACTGGGGATCAACTTCTATTTATCTATAATCTAGAATATGTGGAAACCTAAATGCTTTGCACTTCGAGTTACTCATGACCAACATTTCATATATGGTTTCATCACAAACCTAAATGTTTTGCACTTCGAGTAGGCAGACATGAGAAATGTAAGGAAATATGAAAGAATACTGCACCTTAATCATTGACTCAGTTTGTAAGGAACTTCCACATGGGCAACAAATCTTAACAATCTTATCAAGCTGGTAAGAGTCCTCTATCTCTTCTTTTAATACGACATTGCTGCTATCTGAAGGAACTGAGACTCCCTGTGATTTTGATGCCAGGTCAGGTGCCCCAGAACCCTGCATTTTCCTGAAAATAGAGGAAACATCGATATCATCCTTAATTGATCACAGTATAGAGCACCATTTACAGTGGGCATAGTAAGCAATCCACATAGAGAAAAAATCTTGAAGAAGTCAAAATACATTTTATGCAAAAAGCCCTCACAGAAAAGGTTCATCTTTCTGCAACAAATGAAATTTGATATAATGGTCTAACATAATAATAACTTCTGGAAATCAAACATTGGAAAGAAATTTAAAAAACATGTATGCATAATTGATTCTTAATTTAGACTTCTAGAAAAGGAAAAGTACAACAAGGATAACGCAGTATAATCCCAACTCCATTGGGTCTGGGGGTCAAGAAATACACAGTCCTATAAAGACAGAGGTCCCTTCCATTAGACCCTGGATGCATGGCTGCATTTACTGCCTAAACAGTAAAACCTCATAGGAAGTTAAGAAATAGACAAAATTTCATGTGTCATTTTGATTTAGTCCATTGTGTGCCCAAAACTAAAACATTGTCAATAATGAATCTTGCAGCTCCATTGGCAATGGACAGATAGTAAGGGACAAGGATTCCTACTAAATGATAAAAATTAAGAAGCCACCAAATAACCATAAAAAGTGGACTGCTTTCCATCAATAAATATAAATACTCTCTACTTTTATACAATATTAAATATCCCTTGCGGAAACTAGAAGTCAACTCTTTTTTTTTTTTTGCTATCTGTGCTAGCACTACACCATTAGTCATTTTTTAAACCCATTGTGTTAGCTCACACTTCCCATAAAACTACAACACACCGGTATATGTCATCCACAAGTTTCGCAATTTCTTCCTTGCGCACGGCAGTTTTCTTTGGGCATGTTCCTGAAACTGATGAAAACAATTTTCTACACAATTAGAGTGGAAAAGTAAGCAGAGTATGGATGAATCTCAACCATCCTACTTGTAAGTCGTAATGGATTAAACAAACAGTTGTCAAATTTAGAGTAAAGGTATTTATCTGGATGAAAATACACTAATAAATAGAGCTTAAATTTCTGTAACAAAATGGTCTTAGTTAAATCTTCTGAGAGTCGGGAATCCACAGCATAGAAATTAAAAGTGTTGAACTTCAACAATCTGTAGTTGTGGAATTTGGAATTCATTTGCCTAATAAAAACACGAATTGAATGGAAGAAAAGATATAGAGCCTTATGTTCAGGCGCTAAAATGACTAAACCAATGTTGTCCAGTGGCAGTATCAATAATTAACAAGACGACATTACAAAAGAGTCACGTTTCAAAAATCCTTGTCCCAAAAAAGAGCTTGGTTTTAAAATTAACTTAAAGTTTCAACCAAATTTCTTATAAAGCCAATTGGCAAACAGCAGTTTTACTCAATTATTCCAAACAATATGAAAATAGGAAGTATATGTATAGATGACAATTAATAACTTGTAATAGCGTGCACCGTGATTTGGTTGTCTAAAAAAAATGTATCTTACTCAAACATAATTTTTTATAGAAATGGAGGGATTAGTGGAGTACTACTAGATTACACCAAACAATATTGGAAATAAGTTATAGGGATAAATAAGTAATCATTCATAACTTGTAAAAGCTTTAGCCTTGATTGAGTTGATAAGAATAAAATGCTGTACTAAACTCAAGCGGGACTCTTTTTATAGGGTGGAGGCAGTACTCCTAGAGCAACTTTGACAGCAAACACTTAAGTCACATTGGGACGGGTGCCGGTGCATATACGGGGATGGAAAATGGCAACTTCAAAAATTCAAGTGTGCGGGAGCGGCAAGAATATGCGAAAAAATAACTATTAAAACATCCAAATACATATATAACAAGATACTATCAAAGGTACTCCCTCTATTCCAAAATTATGTACTCTCTTTATCATATGTTCCAAAATATGTATCATTTTCTTTTAAGAAAAAGGATATGTGCTCTATTTTTCTCTCTGCTCTCCATAATGTTCAGCCACATCACACTTTTTTTCAGCCAAGTTACACTTTCTCAATTTCTGTGTCTCATCAAAGTGTGCCATATATTGGGACAAAGAAAATATCATATTTGAGCTACAACCATGTAGAGTCTTAATTGGACTGATGGACCAACGAGGATAACCGCCAATTCGAATAAGAGATGCACTCATGTCGTTCATAATTTACGGTCTACCCTCGAATTCATATCCTTAAGATGGAGATACAACAACAACCCAGTTGAACCCCACAAGACTAGGGTGGAGAGAGAAAAACTTAGTAAATAAAATAGGAGTGGTCACAGTCCAAGCATCGAACCAATTTCATTTTGTCCCCAGTGTCCACATGCCGCTACCTCAAAAATCAACTACCAAATCCTACCCAGAGAGACGCTTTTGAACAGTCATATGTGTCCCCAACAACGTCCCCATCCCGATTCTGGAACGGCAAACGGTGGTAAACTGCTGAACCCATGCAACTTTGTCATACATAAGAGCTGATATCAGAACAGAAGAAATGAAATTCACTTACCCGAGTCATCTGACAGAATAGCTAGTAGTCGGTCAACAAGATCCTACAAAGAGTCATAAACAGATGTCATACAACGGATAAGCTATGGTAGCGAAAGCAGTGTTATCACACTAGAAGCAATGCAGACACACTCATGTACAATTACACAGTGCTCAAACATAATTTATTCATTTACAAGCTAGCCACTACGAGGATCAATATCTCAAAGAGGATGGAAACTGTTTGACAATATAATGAGCAATGCATACGGAATTAATAGTTCAACATTGTATAGTAGTTGTGTGATACTGTGATATCTACTGCAGTATGTCTAAAGCAGAATGGTATAGAATAACTTGTTTGCCAAAAATTAAAAACCATTCAAATTTAAACCTAAACCAAAGAGAGAAATATGAGCCACTAATAAATACAATCTATCCAAAATATAATACTCTATTCATCCCTAAAACAGAGGGACTCTGACTTTACGGAGTCTAAGAGAAGTGTTGAAATAAAAAGTCAGTAGTTAGAATTTATTTAGGAGAGAGAAATATTGTGAGCCACATATTCCTTTCCATTCAAAGAATGTGAGAAGTGATAATTTAATTTTAGGAGGGTCAAAAATGGAAAGTGTGACTTTGTTTTAGGGATGAAGGGAGTATTATCCAATGCAGGCCACCCTCAACTTAAAACGTTGAAAATAAGATTGCTAGAAAGGGTGGGTTCGGGTGAGCAGTTTGAAATTTTGAAAATGTTGCATTATGAAAACAATTTATGTTTGAAAATCATGATGTATAACAAGTTGATATAATTGTTTGATAAAGTGTCATTATAAGTAATTTCAAATTATTTTTTGAAATATAAATGCAAAATGGTTAAAAAGGAAATAACTGAGTTTTAAGGGCTATTTTATATGAAAACGCCCCACCAAGTATTTAACCCTAAGTATTGATCATAAATAATATTTTGGAGGCAAAAACTCATAAAATGCTTAGACTCCTTCCCGCCACCCCACCCGAACCACCCACACACAAAAAATGTTATGATACCATTAAGATGGAAACAAGCAAAAGCAACCCGCAAATTGAGGAAAATCCCAAGGCCCAAACTAAGCCTAAGAGGTTTCCTGGATGCTAGGTGTGCTTGGGCCTTAAAGAGAACTTCAAAAAATCCTTCTATGGGCCTTGTGCTGAATATAAGTGCCTTAAACAAGTATCTTTAACTCTTAAGACATAATTTACAATAATCTATTAAGATTTAATAGTCAATACTTAATACAATCCCTTGATTATGTAGTTATTTGAACTAAGAGATTGACGGTACTTGTTTCAACACATTTTTTCTACTTAAGGGTAGCATGTTAAAACACCAAAACCTAGGTGTTAGTCATTTGTTGAAATCATTTTTCTAATGCCCACAACCTAACAATTTCTACAACATTGGAACTGATCCCCACCACAAAAAGATTAAGTAGAGAGTTAAGCAAGACAATAAGAATCCCAAGACCTGCTTCTTTCCTTGCTTTGAAAGGCCAAGTTGAGTGAGAGCATCCTTCAGTTCCTTGATCCGAAAATATGCTAGCTTGTCCTACCAGAAATAATGAAAATATTTACAAATCCTCCTTCAGAGAGAAAATTTTCAATGTTTAACAAGAAATTAATTAAGCAAACTCAAAGTGATAGACAAAATTTGAAGCTAAACAAACATCAGTTTTAAAACATCACTAAGAAACTACTACGCGTCAATTATACTACACAAATAAAATAGAGATTAATTCAAAAGTCTAAGAATTCCTTGAATGTATTTAATGTCAATTTTGTTTTGTGCCAGCCCATTTTCACGGAATATCAAAGATCAATAAATCATCTGCTGCAGTGCTGCACACATACTAATTAACATACAATGATTTTGCACCTTAGCAAATATCTGATGACATTACTAAACATGATTAGAGTTTTCTGGTATGTCATTAACATGGCTCATGTATCTCTTTGAGTGTCAAGACTGTCAACTACCTACGTGCCTCATCAAAATACCACATTAACGTCTCATAGTCGAAAGCCATGGCACCTCTCTAATTTACAAAGAAAGTTGATAGACATCAACAAAGGAGCATGAATGTACACTGTAAAATCTAAAATGCTAGTGTAAAAAACCCTAATCACATTTCTATATGCCAAAGATATCTTGGGTCTACTGAAGAATATGAACGAAATTCGAAAATAGTGACAATAACTCTATACCACATCAAACCAGGTGACTTGTAGGTATAGAAGAGAACCATCGTTGATGTTGTTGTTAATAAATTTAGAAGAAACAACAAAATAATGATCATACGTAAAAAAGAAACAAATTTCCATCCTGTTGCTACAATCACAAGACAAACGTTTGGTTTGAAACTAAAATGTTTTTACTATAATTCATACTGACTCATATAACATCATCATCACCTTAACTTGGGGTTGTTTGCTTCAAATTTATCATGCTAATTACTTTTATAGAATTACCTAACACTATAATAGTGCTAATTGTGGCAGGGTTTTATCCATGATGCCTTTCATGGCACATCCTTTTTAAAAAAGGAAGAATGAAATGAAAATTATAAACCCACCATCATATTTTTAGAAAAAAAAACATGAGACGGTAATGAGTAAAGATATTATTAGTTCATGTCATGTCCATTACATTATTGATATTGCAAAACCAACATGCAGATCATGGAACATGCCATTCACATTGAGAGGTAAATGATGGGGGTCGGTGGGATAGTTGATGTTGTTGGTGCATAGTTTTCTCATCATTTCCTAAGCATTTATAACCAAACACCTACTTTTCTTTCCATTTTTCTGAACATGAGAAGCATAACCAATGCGTTACACAAAGTACTACGATGTCAACAAAAAAACCAGTAGTTGTATAAAATGAAAGCTCATTTTAGGAAATAAAATCAGATGATAGACCAACAAGTCGATACCTTGCAGCTAGCCACCAAATCCATTTTCACCCCCCTTCCGTTCCCGGCTATGTGGGCAATAAACTACGAGGTCTTCTGAAAGAAAGAAAAATAGTTAATGAACAGATAACAGCATTTAGCTCATTTGCAGAAAAAATAATACTCGTAATTAATCTAACCCACTGAAAACTAAGTCACAGCACATTTTCCATTAATTCGATCCAAATCCATCATAAACTGAAACGAATAATTAAAAATCCACATGAGTTTCCATCGAATTTCGATGAACATACAGTGAAAATGATGCAATTGATGGCGCAGAATAGATGAAGTCTCAATTTTGATGGGTTTGTGGGAGAGCCTGGACGAGCTCGAGGCCGGAAATGAGAAACCTATTCTCTCTCTTTCTTCTCCGCAGCAGAAATCCTTTGCTGTTTTGACCCAGAAGGAAGAAGTCGAAACCAGTAGCTTCCACTGTACCGCGGACGTATCATGGTTTTCTCAAATCTGGTTAATCTCGTAAAAACAAATCCGATATTGTATCACCTACCATGAACCATCAATTGAGCCTTTTCTTGTCTCCTCGTGAAGTCGTGATGGGCATTCGGGATGAGTAATTGAGTATGGTAGGATGGAGGGTATTGGGTTAAGCCGTTTAGGTACTTCGGTTCGATTTCGGTTCTAGAATGGATCGTTTTCGGTATGAACCAATACCGGTGCCAATGAGAAAAATTTTGGTCGGGTTCATGATATCATTTTTTGATATTTTATATACTTGTATATTTTATGTATAGTGTTTATAAATTAGTACACACTTAAAAAAATTACAGATTGTGAAGTGCAAATGCAAAGAGAAATATTAAAAACATGTTTTGAAATTTATTAGTCATACACTCATACAATGAAACAAAATTACAATTAAAAATAAAACAATTAGATATTAATTAAATCAATACACATAGTAATCATATGTATCATCATATGCATATATATAAAGTGGAGCGGATTAAATGCGGTTGTGCCATGTGTCATGCCACATAAACTAGGCTTTAAAGGTGTCATCTTTTCTTTTGTCCACTTGGATACCACATAGCTACTTCTTAGTTATTAATGTTAAATGCAAATAATTGTAAAGACATTTAAACATTGAAAAGTCATGTTCAAAAAAATAAAAAAAATAGTGTGTACACAATTTTATTTCTTTTTACTTTCTAAATATAATGTTCTTAAAATATATATTATTAAATATAACTTGCTTTTTATATTATTAAAAATATTTATAAGATATATGCGATAGAAAATACAGAGTATAATTAATTTGAGGGAAGTTTAGAATAATTGTTTTTTTATTTCAATATGTGTATGTCATCATTTTAAAATACCAAGTAGGGATTAATTTAGTGTGATGGATACCCGGGAATGGGGATATCCAGCCCAACAGGAAGACGGCCCAGCCCAACTTCGTCAAGGCCCACTTGACAGAACCAGGACAAATGACCAGCAAAGAGCGCCTCGGCAGCACTGCGCACTCGGTCCCGGCAGGGTTGGTCATCCTCGGAGCAACCACGGCCGGCCTTCCATCCAGAGGCTTCCCGAAGGCAAGTCAGGCGCTCGGCCTCGGCCACGAGCAGCGGCAGACCGGACCTAGACGAGGGAGCTGGCTTAGTCAGGATCAAGGGGCCCACGATTAGACTCCTGCCATGCCTCTGGCAGAGTTGCTATAGCCAATTAGCCACCCTATTTGTAACCTACTTTGTGTAGCAGTCCTAGGGTTAATTATGTGGTTGGACGCCGCCAGTGAACAACCCAATCTTAGTGGGCCCAGACCGTTGGATTACAGACCAACGGTCGGAACCCCAGTTGTAACTTGTATATAAACATCTTCCCTTCCAAGGGAAGAGGGACTTACGTTCTAACTGATATTCCAACTAGCACATTATTACTCTCAATTTACTTGACCCCTCACACTCTGTGCGCTCGTGCTTAGTTCGATACTCATCCGCCTAGTTACCTAGACCCCCGGGTTCCATAACCCAACATAGTGTATGATTGATTTTAAAATTATTAATTTTAAGTTAACATGTTTATGATTTTATTCAATTCACAAATGTATTTAGGTTTGTATATTTATCTTATTATATTTTGGATATATTGATAACTCATTTTTTGTGTAACTATTAATTCTATTTTGTGACTATTTCAAAATTAGTAAATTTCGTGTACAAAAATAGTTTGAAATTTGTAAAAGAAGTAATTTTTCATTCTCTATCAAAAAAATTATATTTAAAAGCTATCAATAAAAAAATATATTTGGGTGAGTTAAAGTGTATAAAAGCATAATAGATATAGATGAGGTTGAAATGAGTTCATCCATTTAGCCGAGAAATATTAACAGATCTCTGAAATAAGAAATCGAGAGAGTCGCGTTAAGTAGGTGAAAAGAATTTTTTCATGTGTTCACACGTGTATAAAATATACTTACATGTTTTATATATTGAATTATTGATAGTAGCATAGCGAGTTAGCGACTTTAGTACATATTAAAAAAATTTAATTTCACATTTTTTTGAAAATGAAATATAAAATTTATATATATATTTTACGTAAGAATATACGAGTCCGTGTGAAGCACAAATTTGTTTTCAATTTTACATTTTTTCTAAAAATGAAATATAAAATTCATTGATATATTTTTCGTGATAGGTTCTGGTAGCATCACGAACCGTCATGGACTGCATCCACCCCTATGAAGCACAGATTAATTTTTGATTTCATATTTTTTTTTAAATGACATACTCCCTCCGTCCGGGATTAATCTTCTCATTTGGACTTTTTCTCATTTTTATGAAGTGTTGACTTTGGAAGGAAAATGTCCAATATACCCTTCATTTCTTTCCTGTTTTACAAACCCAATCCTGCCCTCCCCTCCCCTGAACTCTGCCAGGGCTAGCACCCACCACCGCCATCATCCCCGGCTCCACCATCGCCGTCAGCTCCGCCAAAATTGACCCAGCCCCAACCACCGTCGCCGTCACCTCTACCACAATTGACCCAGCCCCACCACAATTGCCCCTTAGCTCCAACGTACACCACTCACCATCATTCGCACAATTCATCCCTAGCCGCCACAATCTCCTCCGGGAGAAAGAGAAAAAGGGGAAGAGAAAAAAGAAGGAAAGAAGATGAGAAGAAGATCTAGTACAGATCTACTGTAGATCTGGGAGAGAGGGAAGAGAAGAATTTCGGGAAGAGGAGAAGAAGAAGAAGAAGAAGAAGAAGAAGAAGAAGAAGAGAGAGGAAGAGATCTGAAAAAGAATAGGGGGAAGGAGACCAAGAAAAAAGAAGAAATAGAGGATGAAGGAACGGATGGAATAAGAAAAAGGGAAGGAGAGAAAGATAAGAGGAGTGTGTGGTGAGAAACATGGGACGAAAGAGAAAGGGGAGAGGGGAGAGATAATGTGAAAATGTTAAGTGGGGGTATTTTTGGTAGTTAGTGTATAAAAAATTGAAATGGGAAGATTATTTCCGGACGGAGAAAAATGAGAAATGGAAAGATTATTTCCGGACGGAGGGAGTATAAAATTTATAGATATATTTTACGTAAGAATATTACAATTTTATGTGTACACACCTAAGAAATATCAAAAGAATTTTTTCATGTGTACACGCGTGTATAAAATATACTTACATGTTTTATATATTGATAATGCATCGTAGCATAGCGACTTCAATACATATTCCAATTTATTTTTAATTTCACATTTTTTAAAAATGAAATATAAAATTTATAGATATATTTTATGTAAGAATATACGAGCCCGTGCGAAGCACGGAGAAAATACTAGTTATAATATAAATTATAGAAATTCTACAATTGAGCTAATCAATCGTCAAAAGTGTCACTTCCTTAAGTGATAATAGCTATTATAGATTATGTGTTGTTCGTGAATAACATTTTTTGTTTACGTCAGACTAACAATCATTCCTGATAGCAAACAAACGTCTTGAACGACTCGATACTTAACTGATATGACAATTGATCAATGTTTTTTAGGATCAAACTAAACTCTTGCTCCACCTTTTTGTTTCGTCGGAGCAACAATGCGTATATGCAAGACAATATGCAATACATTAGAGTGTGCACTCTCAAGTTTTGATGTTTAGAGCATTGGAAATGAATACAATTTTGCCCCTGTCAAACGCGAGTTTAACGTCGTTATGGCGGAAAACGGTCCCCCTGTAGTTAAGGTGACTGCTTTAAACATTTAAAGCATAAGAAAAGATCGAGAATAAAGTGGTGCCCCCCCCCCCCACAGTCTAAAAATAGTCGTTGGATACATTTAAAAATATCATTTTCTATTTATATATATATATATATATATATATATATAGGGGCTGGATCAAGTGAGAATGCACTTTGGTGAAAGAAATAAGAATAAAATCTAGCCTTTGGATCTGATGCATCGTGCGGCTCAGATTGCATCCTGCACTGAGATTTTGAGATATTGCATTTTCAAAAGATTTTGGTGCATTTCGACATGATGCATTTTTAAACCATTTTGGTGCACTCAATTTTGATGCAATCCTGGTTCTTAGATCTCACAATCTAAAGCACCAGATTCATTCTTAAATTTTTCATAAGATTGCATTCTCACCTGAACCTATATATATATATATATATATATATATATATATAGAATTTGGTTCAAATAAAAATGAAATCTAATGAAAGAAATAAGAATGAATAATAACCCTTGGATCTTGATCTCCAGCAATTCTCCTTCCCACTTATCGCAAGGGCATTTTTGATTTTTCATCCCAATTTCGTTCTTGCCTTATCAACTGCTCTTCTTCTCCCCAAAATCAGCGCACCATCTTCTCTCATTCCGTTCAGAGTTTTCCTTATTTACACATGCCACCAGCAGTTTCTCTATCTAAGAGTTGAGTCTGGGCAGTGTTCTTGTAACACTATTCATACTCGTCCTTCACCTTGCAATTCCTTCTTGATTTGTATCTCGATTCTCGATATTGTTGGAGCCTTGGAATCGACTTCAACATAGGCTTCCTCTTTGGAGTTCAATTCGATGCTCTTGGGGCCGGACTGGGCATGAATCGAAGGTTAACCTCTCGTAGTTACTTTTCATCTTCGACTTTGAAGGTTTGAATCAATCTCAATTCAAGCTCAATTGAAGTCTAATTTGTAGGGGATTATGAGTGATTTGTGTTACTCTTTCAAGGTTTGAGGATGGAAGTCATTTTCATTTGAACTTAGATTTTTCCATCTTAATTTCATTCTTACCTTATCGGCTGCTCTTCTTCTCCACAAAATCAGTACACGATCTTCTTCAATGTTTGGATTCTGCGGCCATCATCATCCCTCAAATAACAAGCATCCATTATCGCAAGATCTATTCCAAAATTCATCTTCATTATCCATCACTGTCAAAGAATATATCTGGTGGTTTTTCCAAATCAGGTATGATTCATTTAGTTTCTGATTCATAAATTAAATTACATTTTGATATGTTTATCAATTTGATTCTTTGTATTCTTGTTTCTTTTTTAGGTTTTGATTGGTTGTTCAATTTGTGAGCAATTGGTTTATGATGTTCAGCTTTAATTTGTATTTTACTATTTTGGAGCATTTTTGTACATATGGGATTTTTTCAGTTGTATTTTGTTATACACCCTATATCAATGCTATATTTGCTAGATATTCTTTTAAAATTGGTCATTCTTTTCTGCTTTGTAATGTTCTGGGGTGTCTTGCATTTTGAAGTGCATGTTTTGCATTTTGATTAACATCTATCTTTAATATTGCATATGTAAATGGTGAATTAGGTATTTTTTATTATGCACAGATTTAATAGAACGTAAGCACTTTGTTATGATTTTTGCACATTTCAGGATCGTTCATTTTACCCATCATTTGTTTCATATATGACGCTATGTGCTCCTATAAACCATGTTGTATTGAATATTCCCTATCTTGCATACTTGGTTGATAGTGACTATCTCATTTTCTTACTAATAAAGTGAGATATAATAATATGATATGTATATTGTTGGATAGTAATGCATCCTGAAATGTTAATAGTACATCGTATTCATATCCATGGATAAAGATTTATTTTAGTCACGACCTTAAACCATAGTTAGTGGTAACAGATGGATATGTTTCACTTTGGGAATTTGTTTATTACTATGTTGCCTTATACAATTTGAGTAAAGAGAAATGTACATACAAATAAGTGGTTTGACAGTGTGAATTGATGATGCATTACACCTGTAGTATTTATATTCAGTGTAGGTGGGAGACTTACATGCAAGAGCTCCAAAACATAATATACAACCTGATGAAAGGGAACAAATACCATCAAGATGCACCAAATAGAACCCTCGCTGGTTAGTAAGAATGGGTGGCTTATGAACGTGTTAATGTAGAATTAGGGTAAGTGGATCTACCTCGTAACCTCGCAAGTTTGGTTTTAGCTAAAAGTTAGCTGGTTTGTAGCTACTGAATTCATCAACTGTGTTATGTAGGTTTGTAGCTGCTAAAAGAGCATAATCTAGATGGAGATGCATACCAAACAGATGAAAGTGTTGATTTTATTATTACTGACACATGGAAACCAGTGAAGATGCTCATGAGGAGGAATCTTAAGGTCTACAATAAGTTTGGTTATAGCATATCTTAAACACTTGATTTACCTTACTCAAGTAATGTTGAACAAGGATGTTGGGACCGACGTTCTTGATATTAATCTTAGCAATGCGATGGTTTTTGGCTTATTAGTTTTCCTTGGGGCTTAGTTGTTTTTGAGATGGTGTCTCTTCTTTATTTCATCTTTATCTAGTCTTTTCTTTTTGTTTGCTTTTTTCGAGGGGCTTTGGTATGGTCCTCCCCTCTTGTACTTCACTTTTTCTTGTAATAAAATGTATTTTTATTTAAAAAGAAAAATAAAAAATGAAATGGGGTAAGTGAGAAGTGGAACAGATTGATTTATATAGGTCTAAAGCAAAATAAGATGTTGAGGTAGTACAAAAAACATAATATGATCTCCTGGAGCATTTCGTTTGTTACAATTATTTGTATGTTCCGGTCAATATGAGTTCACATCACCAATTAGACTTCAATTCTGATGCCTCTGAGTTTTTTTCTGGTTTCAATGCTTTATTAACACATAATAAATTATGATTCTTGTTATTATTCGCTTCTAAAATGTAATTCTTCAAACACTATATCACATTCATACTCATCATCATTTTTTATCTAAAATGTCAACAATTGGTGTTTCAAATAATGAATAGCATTGGTTCGAACAGTGCACATTGTGCAGTTTATAATGCATAATTGGTAGTTATTAACATTATAACCCCTATTCCGTTGGGATCTTGGGTTATATATCTGTGTGTGTGTGTATTGGTTCTGGTGAGAATGCGATCTTATGAAAGAAATAAGAATGAATTTAATGCTTTAGATTGTAAGATCTAAGGGTCAGGATTGCATCAAAATTAGATGCACCAAAATGGTTTGAAAATGTGTCATGTCGAACTGCACCAAAATCCTTTGAAAATGTACTATCTCAAAATCTGAGCGCATGATGCAATCTGAGCCGCACGATGCATCAGATCCAAAGACTAGATTTTATTTTTATTTCTTTAACCAAGTTGCATTCTCACGTGAACCGGCCCATACACACACCCACCCACCCACACACACACAGATATATATACACACACACACACACACATACAGGACAACATGTCAGTACGAGGAAATATTTTTGTGTCTCAGTCCTGTCTCATTTTAAACGATTTAGAACGGGTTCAAGATAAAATTTTGTCACCCCAAACAAAGCTGAATATTATATGAACGGAGCCAAGATATTTTGGGTTGGGACAACATGCAAGATCGAGATTTGTGCCCACCACTTCATGTTTCGTGTTTTCTCAACGGAATGTTATCAATGGTTGCAAGAAGAAGCAAAATCATCAAGGGGCTCAACCCGACGTACGTATGCGTTCAATTCGTGACCAGAAGGCTGCGCATGAAGTACTACTTAATGACTAACTTTAGCACCCCGTGTATTTTACGAAGGAGGACTTTAACCACCCTTTTTGAATGAGTCATTCATTATTTTCAATATCACTAGAAATGAGTTTAAAGTCCGGAATTTCAAATCTTCTCTCTGTCACATCAGTATTAATCTCATTTAACTTACACCACATTTTCATTAGAAATATTGGGCTTCAAACCAGGGCTTCAAGACTTTCTTTTTTAATATACATTTTATAAAAGTAAATCAATAAGATTTCATTAAATGATTAAATCTAAATCGCAATAATTCATTAAATAAGAATTACATTCAATAAAAAAAAGTACATAAATTTAAAAGCAAAAAAAATACATTAATAAAAAATAAAAAAACATATTATATTTAGCTGTGATCTTGTTTTGTTTTTTCTCGTAATACTTTTTTTTTGAATTCAGCTGACGTATCAAGGTTTATTTCCATTATTTCGAGCTCATCCTTCTCTATCCTCCGTTTATCGTCTCTTCTTTCTTGAGATTGAACAACCGCATTTGTTCAACCATTCATCGGTTGATATCATCGTATAAGGAAACTGAGCTGGACCCAGAACTCGGCCCAATTGAATTAGCTTTCTTTCTTCCGATCGGCCATGGAATGAGGTTCTCGTCGTCACAGTCGTCTAACAATGTAACACCTTGAAACTCAACATACTAGAATTAATTAATTAAGAAGTCTTTCAAACTTTTAATTTCGTTTTTTTTCACTATGCAGTCCTCAATATTAATACGGAGTATATAATAATAGTGTTTATATTGAATACATTTTTGTTGTGTTGTATTTATATACATTATAAATTTATTTTATATTTTCTTTTACTGATTCAAAATACTGTCCGTGCAACGCACGGGTTTACATTCTACATTCTCCATCTATTCCTGGCGTCCTTCATATTCTACATTCTACAGACAATTCGCCCTTCTCCCATATCCATTCTACCATATCCATAAAATCTCAGGTATTTCTTTTTATACACTCCATCTTTCATCTTCGCTTCTTAATCATTAAACTATATTAATTATACGTGTCACAGTACTACCCGGAGTTAAAAAAAACCAATTCACTTTTCCAGATACGAAACACAATTACTGATGTGTTTATCATATATTTATAATATAAATGGTTGATAGTCCAAACCTGAATCAATGTTCCACAGATCTTATATGAGACCTATTATTTTCTGAAATGTTTATGCAAACACCACTATCACATCACATTTTAGATAGACATCTAATTTTTTTTGATAAATATTCTTCTATTTTTGAAATTAATGCAGTAAATGTCACATTGTATCATTATTGAATTTGATTCTTGCTTTTCTTCTTCTTCTCAATTATGAAATGATGATCAGAATGATGGATTCAACTAGTCTGGCTCACAGCAGCTTACTCGACACCAGGATTGATTCTCAGAGAACTCTGTATGTATGCTCAGTCCCTGGCTTTGCTGTGCACATTTTTGGATAGCAGTTTTGCGTGCTTTTCAATCTGGTTACTAAGATATTGTAGGATCTATGGTTGATTAGGAATGCATGAGTTGTGCTTTAAAGGGATCACAAATATAATTACTATTTTATTTGTTGGGTTAACTAAATGTATCTCACTCAATCTTTTGAAGACAATTTTTATTATAAAATATACAGTGTATTGAATGTGATGAGAATTAGCTTCTTTTGTTCAAATTGGACTCTTTTTTGAAGAATAAATTTAGGTGCGTGATTCGTTTATGGGACAGAGGGAGTATTTTGTTTACCAATAATCATTATATAGTGTTCATTGTTCAAACCCTAGCTATGTGCTCAGAAATTCAGATTTTTTTTGAATGAAAAAATTGCTCTTTTTTTAAAAACAGAAATGGGAGTGTACAGTTCATGTGGAAATCTAAAACAGTGGGAAACCATCCTTATCTTACAGGAATAGGCTTTGAAGCCTACTTTCCAAGCACATGTAATCAGCAGAAACATTATTTCTCTAAGCACATGTCTAACATTATGTTTGGTTTGAGGATATAGGAAAAAAAGGAAAAGAAAATTTATTTCTCTTCTTTTCCTCACCAAAGTGGAAGGAAATGTGTTATCTTCCTCTTAGTTTATTTCTTGCCTTCATTTGATTTTCCTTCTATTTTTCTTTTCTTTTTTTATGAAAGCAAATAAGTAAAATTGTTTTTCCATTTCATTTTCTTTTCATTTCTGTTGTGAACTCCTAGAACCAAACATAGTGTGAAAGTCAAATTTGCCTTGGATATCAAGTCTTTAACCTCTATCAAGTGTCACACAAGTTCCCGAAGACAATTTTACCGTTATCCCTACAAAATTTGATAGCAGCCCAGGGATATGCTATGTCAATGACTTGTATAGCCCTTGCTTATACAAAGATTCAGACCAAAGTATGTGGTCCTTAAGGACCTTCCCATGAACGAGTAATTTAGGGTGTGAGGTGCACACAGGGTACCCGAGGTGTGTGTCTCACGAACATAGGCGTAATGGAGGGAATAAAGATTATCACATTTCATGTTGATAATGTGAACTTTCCAAACACATAAAACACAAACCATGCAAAAAATGGAACCAAAAGTAGTGAGGATAATATAAGTTTTATAGTTTGAACTTTGAAGCTATGCTCTACTCCGGAATTTGATAATAAATCAAGAAAGTTTAGTATTGTGTTTATAATCATTAGCATCAGCATCATCATCGTCATCATGGTCTCACTAGCCTTTTCAATATTGATTGCGCAACACAATTTCTCTCACGTGATATATCAAAGTATTTGGTGTTTTTGTATAGGGACCCCTATGTGACAGGCACATCAGTGGTTGGAATTAAATACAAGGATGGTGTACTACTGGTTGCTGATATGGGAGGTAGTAATTATTTCAAATCAATAATGTTAGTTTCAAATAATCGTATCAGTTATGAGCTTAGAATACAACCATGGCTCAAAAGAATGCTGGTTTTTCTGTGATTAAGAAGGCCAGATTATTTTATTTGTGCATCTGTATAACTCAACTGCCAATGCTGCACTGCTGCCTTCATGCATTGTCAATTGAGTTATTTGGGTTGTAGAGTAGTACTAACAACAACAACAACAACAATTATAATAATAATAATAATAGTAGTAGTAGTAGTAGTAATAATAATAATAATAATAATAATAATAATAATAATAATAATAATAATAATAATAATAATAATAATGTGCATTTGAAATAAAAGAGTAGAGAAGGCAATGGCTAGTCTAGTCTACGAGCGACTAACTCTAGATTCTACTACTTATCAAGCTTGTAGGTGCTTGACAAACCGTTACAAGTCCTTACAACATTCAAGGATACCTCATCCTAATATTTTACTTACTCGGACAGACCTCACTCCAAGACTCCGCTTCTCGGAGATCCCCCACTTCAGGATTTCACTCTTTACCTTAGCCTAAGACTTCACAAGAAGAAATATAATCTTCCCAACACTCAAGAATACACTCTTACAATGAATTCCTAAGGCTTAAGTAAAATAAAATGTCTTGGAATCTTTACTTGAACTGAGAGACTTTCGATTTATTATAAAGTACTTGGTCTTCTTCAGCTGTATGTGTCCATTGTGTTTGTCCATTTTGATCTTTGCTCAGCTTATGCTTGTCAGTTATCAAAACCTACAAATCAACCTTTAACAGAACAAAGTCTTGAACTCGTGCATTTTAACACAATTGATATATTATAATTGATCATTTTTTTGT